TCTTGCCTGGTTTTAAAACATGATGCTGGACACTGCCTTGGCTATCTACTTCTTTGATGCCAGTTTCTTCTAGGGTATCTGGAGTTATGGTTCTCCCTTGATACAAAACTGGTGTCAGCCTTGTTCTGCCTTCAGATTGGGGTGGAAGTAGGAGACCCTATTTTGAATATCTATGCTATCTGTTCTTGAACTCTCCTACAACACCACGAAATCAAGTATGCAACAAACTGTACATCTGTTTGGTTATAATTACACAATTTGACCAATTTGGTCATAATTTGAGGCACTTACATCATTAAGAAAGGGAATGTGCTTTAAAACTGAATGCTACATATGATCATTCCAAAGTTCCAGGAAACACACACAGACACACAGAAGCAGAAATTCTTAACAAGTATGCCACAGATCCCAGTGATAGTTTCTATTTCTCATATTCTCCTTTTTTTCTTTGTCTTCAAGAACATATGCATGTTTCTTTTGTACAATGCCAATCATTTCTCCTTTCTGGAAATCCTTACCTATATACTAAACATTTGCTTTCATCCTAGAATCCATCCTTCCCAACTTACACCCAAACATCTGGAAGACATCATAATCAGTGCAACTATATCTATCAAACTGAATTATTTGACCTGTAATAACACCGTAAGGCAGACTACCTCTGTGTGTGGATGTGTATGTGTGTGCATGTGTATATGTGTGTAGTTTGTAAAATCTTCAAGGTTTTTCTCTCAATGTGAGGTGAAGGTCTGTGTCTTTTTGTCTTTATGTTTCCTGTTATCTTTCAATATTTATGTCCAGTTTCCTGAGATAACACTTGGACAAAAGATACACACACCTGCACACACACACACATACATACTCCTGTACTCATCCTACTCATCCAAAAGACAAAAAAATACTTTTCAGAGTAAGGATGATGTAGTAGGATTTAATTGGTAGTGGAAGAAGAGACATTTTCCTAAAAGCATATATATTTACAAAAGTTGTTCTAGCCAAGTGATGATAGCATTTTACATTATTATGCAGAACACTTTTAGTGATACCTTTTGTTTCTATACCCTTCACAGAGCATTAACTACATTTAAAAAGGGCTGATTATAATATGGTGTCCCTTGGTGGTGCAAAATGTTAGTATACTCAACTTCCAACTGAAAGGTTAGAGGTTTATGGACACCTAGAGGTGTCTCTGGTAGCATGGTGCCTAAGGCACTTGACTGCTAACCAGAAGGCTGGCGGTTCAAACCCACCAGCCACTCCTTGGAAGGAAGATGGGGCAATCTACTTCCGTAGTGATACTGCCTCAGAAACCCAAGGAAGAGTTGCTATGAGTCAGCTGACTCAATGGCACATAACAACAACAACAGAGGTGTCTCAGAAGGAAGGCCTGGCAATCTGCTTCTGAAAACTCAGCCATTGAAAACCCTATGGAGCATAGTTCTACTCTGATATACAAGGGTCACCATGAGTTGGAATCAACTTGACAACTGGTAACTGATGTAATTATAATGTCCCCTCTGTCAAAAAGCATCATTCCTCATTTCATTTTATTAGCAACCCCTGTCAGAAAATAGGTGGCCCTTTCAAATGGAGTAAAAAAAATAAATAAAACCTCATAGCTATTGAGTCATTTCTGACTCATGGTGAGCCTATAGGACAGAGTAGAACTGCCCCATTGGGTTTCCAATGCTATAATTTTTATAGAAACAGACTGCTATATTTTTCTCTCATGCAGTGGCCCATGCATTTGAACCACCAAACTTTTGGTTAGCAAGTAAACATTTTAACCACTTCACCACCAGAGCCCCTTCAAATGGGGCAGCTGGGACAATTTTCAAAGGGGTGGGTGGGATAAAGTAAATCAACAGGGATGGATCAATACCTGGGCTGGGGCCTGTAAGAAGCCTGAAAGTTGGTATCACCCATGTGCTTGCAGAGAGGCAAGAAGAAGGAACTATTAGTGAAACCCAGAGAAAGTAGCTGTAGGAGAGGGCCACTCTATAGGAGCTGTGATTTGGGGTACAGGTAGGGAGCCAACTTGCAGTGATCTACAGAGTGACATTTGGTAGAATAGATACCCTGTTCTCACTCTTGCCTTCTTACTCCTCCCAGTGTGTGCTCCCATTTGTCCAAATCCAACCAGAACCAACTGACAAGGAAGTCCCTGGTGAACTCCTCCTTTAATTAGCTCCTTTGATACAGAGCAGGCTAAAGAAGGGCAAAGAGGGCTTTTCGGGAAGCAAATGGAAAGACTCTGTACATCTCCTTAACTTACAGTTTAAGATAACAAAATGTATAAATGTGTTGATCTCCCTTCCTCCTCAAAACCTCATAAAATTATATGAAAAACAAAAAATTAAAAGCCATAAGACCATATCAAGGAGCACTTAGGGAACAGTGTTTAGGTGATGAGCTGCTAACTGAAAAGTCAACAGGTCTAACCCACCAGCCACTCCACAGGAGAAAGAGGTGGAAAGCTTATGGGGCAGTATATTCTGTCCTATAAGGTGGTTATGAGTCAGAGTCAACTTGACAGAAATGGATTTTGGAAATCCTTGTCAGAAATAAAAGGACAGAGCCATCAGTGGCTACTTAGATACATTTATGGAATACGGACATTAATGGATGAGGACTGAATGAGCAAAGAAACTGATTACACAGCAGAGGAAGTCATGGCCCAACTTAGCAAGGAGGCGGGTGGCAAGAGACAAGGAAGACCATTTAGAGAGCCCTGGTGACTGGTTTGATAGAGGATATGAGTGAGGAGTAGGATTGAAAATTTTAAAATGTGGGTGATTTAAAGTTTTTAAATAACTAATAGTGCAATAAAAATAGTGATTCAACTATAAAAATATTGAAAGGTAGTACATGTAATTTCTCATCTGTTATAGCAAAAAGTCAATAGATGATGTTTAAAGTTAATAAACCAAGAAGCAATGGCATCAGTATATTATTTATGGATTTGACATCAACTACAAAATCACTAAACACAGAAACAGTTCCAAGTGTTACCTCTGAGGAGGAAGGCAAGGAGTGAGGGAGCTGGAGTGTGTGTGTGGGGGGGTATCTGTTGCTTCTCATTGTAAGCTTCTTTGTATTAGTGATTTTTTCTAAAATATGTACATATATTGTTTTAAATAAAAGCTACTTTTTCTTCTTATTTTGTGCTCCAGTTAGTTTACTAGCTTTGTAGAAATTAACTTTTAACATGATTAGGTCCATCACCTGTACCAAACCTACCAATTAAATCCATTTTCTCCTATACTCCCTTCTCTCCCTTCTCTATACCCCCCTCCATCCTCTATGCTCCTTCCCACCTCCTCATTTTTGCACACACTCACACACACACACAAACCTTCTTTCCAAATACAGTTATGTATCTTTCTCTGTAAATGTTATGTACTCAGGTCTATGCCTTTTCTCAAACCTTTTCTTTGGTTCAAAATGACTTCATCTTTTTTTTTTTTTTTTTCTATTTCCTATTCAACCTCAAGGCCCATGATAACTTCTGTTTCCTCCATGAGCTGTAGTTTCCAGTCAGAAGTGATTATTCATTCTTCTGCACCCACATACCACTGAACCACTATCTGACATATCTTATACTTTGCAATGTCTTACAATTAATTGTGTACAACAACAACAACAAAATCACTGCCATCAAGTCAAACCCGACTAATAGTGACCCCCATTGGGTTTCCAAGGCAGTAAATCTTTACAGAAGTAGATTGCTCCATCTAGCACCTGGTAGGTTTGAATTGCCCACCTTCTGGTTAGCAGTCAGATGCCTTAGGCACCATGCCCCCAGAGGTTCTTTAAATGTGTATATACCAGCCTATTTCATTTTATGATTAATTGTAAGTTTTATAGTTCAGGAAGTTCAGAAATTTGTGTTCACAGACCCCTCTGCAATACCTTGCACATAGTAATAGACAGAGTTGCTAAACACTTAACTATAATTGATTTTTGTGTTGTTTTTTATTCAGAAGGCATCTAAAGATTGTGTAGTGAATGTCACAATACACTAAAGTGCACATCCATTGTCTTTTTTATTGAAGTGCTGCCTATTAATAGTTCTGCTTCTTAGCAATACCATGAAGTGTACAGTATTTCGTTCATTAACACTTTTAATTCCTCTTCCCTAATATTCAATTACATACATATTGTCCCAGGTTATAAGGAATAAGATGGTTAATGCACTAATATCTGTGAATAAATATATTATTAATATGTTAATTTTATAAGATTGTTTGCATTATAAAAAGTAGCTTAGAGAGCAAAGTGCCTTTTCCAAGGGAGGAGTGAATTATAAGTAGTGGAATCCCAAGTCCTGAGCTGTTGTTTTGAGATCAAGCAACATTTGACCCTCACATAAAACATATAACTCTTATGCCATAGACAATATTGTTATTATTATTGTTAGCTGCCATTGAGTTGGCCCAGAATCATGGCATCTCCGTGTACAATGGAATGAAATTCTGTCTCATCCTATGCCAGCCCCATAATCAGCTGCAGATAAGACTATTGTGATTCATAGACTTTTCTCTGGTTAATTTTCAGAAGTAGATCACCAAGCCTGTCTTTCTAGTCAGTTTGGAAGCTCCCCTCAAACCTATCCACCATGGGTGACCCTGCTGGTATTGGAAACCCCATTGACAGAGTTTCTAGCATTAAAACAACATGCAAGTTAACACAACAACCTGACAGACAGGTGGTTTATGTAGACTCTAATTTAAAGCAAATTAGGACAGTGTGAAACACTCGTTACATATTAGAACAAATAGATTTGAAATCATTATTAAGTATTTCATATCTGTCTCATAGAAGTACAATTGAACACTATCCCTGGTCTTTGCTCATTATTCTAATTTCCCAAGTTGTCCTTTCACATATAATTACTTCACCTCTTTTCTTTTAATTTTTGTATTGCTACCTCAGCCTGGAATGTAATTTGCATCCATAGGAAAGGGTATTTATTTTATTTTATTTTTTCTTTACTTCAGGAAATGCTACAATAAAACAGTCTCGATTCAGGATTATCACTCAAGAAGCAGCCAACGGAGGCCAAGAATGCCCAGATACCTTATTTGAAGAGAGAGAGTGTGAAGATGTTTCATTCTGCCCAGTGTATCGGTAATTAGTTAACTATTTAAATGATCATTAGACCTTGGTATAAATCATGACCTGATTCCTTTCATGTAATATATGGTTCTTTAGTGAGAAATAAGAAGAGGCAACATTGTATATTCTCAAACACCAATGTTTTTCCCTTTTTCCTGGAAAGTATTTGGAGTAAATAATAAGAAAGTCTAATTAACAGAAGAAAACTGTGTTTTCATTTAAGTGATCTGTTGGACTTCTACCACCCAAGAACTTTTTGAGATCTGGGATTCAAAGAGATGCAAGATGAAATGTTTACCAGATTTTATGTATATAAATATACGGAGCTCTGGTGGTATAGTGCCTAAGGCATCTGACTGCTAACCAGAAGGTTGGCACTTCAAACCCACCAGCCACTCTGTGGAAGGAAGACCGGGCAATCTACTTCTGTAAAGATTTACCATCTCAGAAACCCAAAGGGGGTTGCTATTATGAATTGGAATTGAATTTGTTTTTTTGGCTTACATATGTGTGTGTGTGTGTATGTATGTGTGTATATATGTGTGTGTGTTGTGTGTGTGTGTGTGTATAAAAGCTCTGGTGGCATAGTGCCTAAGACATCTGATTGCTAACAAAAGGAGCTTTGGTGGCGTAGTGCCTAAGGCATCTGCCTGCTAACCAGAAGGCTGGTGGTTCAAATCCACCAGCCACTCCTCAGAAGGAAGGTTGGGCAATCTACTTTCGTAGCAATACTGCCTTGGAAACACGAGGAGGGGTGTCTATGGGTCGGAAACTCCATAGCAGTGCGTTTATATATATATATGTATGTGTATGTATACACACACACACACACACACGCACATTTAGGAGCTCTGGCAGCATAGTGGCTAAGGCACTTGAAGGTAACCAGAAGGCTGCTGGTTCAAACCCAGCAGCCACTCCTTGGAAGGAAGGTTGGGCAATGTATTTCCATAATGATACTGCCTTAGAAACCCAAGGAGGGGTCGCCATGACTTGGGTCCAACTCCACAGCACATAACAACAACAACAACAACAGCATATATACATTTACTCATCTCGTGCTGCTATCACAGAAATACCACAAGTTAATGGTTTTAACAAGCAGAAATTTATTCTCTCACAATTAAGGAAGCTCGAAGTCCAAATTCAGGATGCTAGCTCTAAGGAAAGCCTTTCTCTCTTTTCTGGCTTTGAGGGAATATCTTTTCTCCTTTCACTGTCTGTAGACTCAGCATCTCTTGGAGATCCCCATGTGTGTTGGCATCAGTCTTTCAGTCTTCTCCTGGGTCTAGGATTATCTCAGCACAGGGACCCCAGGACCAAATGATGCATTCTACTCTCTGCTCCTCTTTCTAGGTGGTACTAAGATCCCTCCATCTCTGCTCACTTCTCTCTCCTTCTGTCTCTTGTTAGATAAAAGGTGATGCAGGCCATACCCCAGGGAAACTTCCATTATTTCTTATCAGGCTGTGACCTAAGTAAGGATTTCATCCCACCCTTATCCCCTTATAAGAGATTGGCTGATCACATCAGATATCATCATGGCAGATGATTACATCATTACATACCTGCCACATTACATCATTACAAAACTACCAAACCACTGAGAATGATGGTTCAGCCAAGCTCACACATGTTTTGGGGAGACATATTTCAATCTATGACTATATATATTAAGAACAAAACAATGAAAGTAAGCTTATATGTGTTACAAATATATTTTTTTATATATTATATAGTAGAATAGTAGAATAAGAGTAATTTTATATATATTATAAATACATATATGTGTGTGATATATATTTATAATTCTAAAACCCTAAAACAAAAAATGAAAACAAATTTTTACTTAGGGGAGCTCTGATGGTGTACATACTTCCCAATTATTTAATTTAAAAATATTTTTGTTTTCAGTTTCCATCACATATACGTTTTAAGGAACCATCAAGTTAGGGGGGAAAAAATTAGCTTGTGGATAAAATATTTTTTGAAAAAGAATAAAATGAGTAACTTTTAAACTGCATATGTTCCATATATATTCCCTATTGGTATAGTGATGATTATTATTTATAAAAGCAACCTGAGTTTTGTGTGCTTAATCATAAACCTACACTCTTTCAGCATTTGATAACTTTAAATTTGATTGAAACATTGCTTTCAAGTATATAAATTCAGTTGAATCACTGCTGGGTGTTAGTGATTTGTGAAAATAGCCCAAGGACCTAAAAATCATATAGTTATCAACACACTTACAAAATGACTTTAGCAGAAATGCTTAGTGTGTCACATAATCTGTGAAATCCAAAGGCTAATTTATTCAGGAAAATATGAGTTATTTTATTTTATTTTAAAGAGATGCCTCACATTAGATAGCTAAGGATGTCATTGAAGAATACTAAATTAATATTGATTTTATCTTCCTTTACCCACATTCTTTTTATCTAATGACCAGTTTGGGGAGGATGTAAATAAATACCGGGTACATGCCCAGACACTATCAGTTTGTCCTCATTAACCGCAAGGCCTTGGTGGAAACGATTAACATTCATCCTTTTGTACCATGTGTAAATATTGAAACTTCCAAGCCTAGCGAAAGAGCTCTCAAGGAAAATAGCCAAGTGTAAAAAGCCAAATTAAATATTTTCAGATATCTTTCTGAACCCAGGGCTATTATAAGCAGAGAATGTTCTAGAAACTATTAGTGTGCTCTTCCAGTCTATTGTCCACCTTTTTTTTCTGAAGCTGCACTTAAATTTAGTCATTCATGTTTGAACTAGTTTCCATTATTGACCTCTTGCTGTTTCACTGAGCAATCAGTTCCATTGTGTGTGGATTGGATTATTTTATCATTTCTCCTGATGGGTAATTTAAAATGTGTCCAAGTTAACAGCATAACTCTTTGCTCTTTTGTAAAACATTCTTGAATTTTGAGCAATATGGTTTCAATCTAGGTTTTGCTTTCTGCTTTCATTTGTATGTTAAGGAGTAGGTATTATAAGAAACAAGTTGAGATAGCCTTTAAGATTATCTTACCTTTTTTTTTTCTCCATTGAGATCATGTATACACACATTGATCAAACTAAAACAGAATGAATGTGTCCATGTAATTTGTTCAGTGATATGAGCATTTCCCAATGCATTAAATTAAAAAGTTAAGAGGAAAACAGCATTTACACCTTTATGACTGCATGAAATTGATGATGTGGTGTAGCCAAGAGACCTTTGCTGAGAATTTAGGGACTGAGGACTGACAACTGGTCTATCTAACTTGTAAATTTTTTAACTTACCACTTCTTTGAGCTTAGATCTGTCATCTGAAAACTTAAGAAGGGTATCTTGAATCCTACTTGAATCCTATTTCAATCTATACAGGAAAGTAGACTAAATTCCTTATTTTAATTTTGGTCTAGAAAGACTTTATAAACTCAGTTTAAGTGATCTGAATCAAAGACATGTCCTAGTTGAAAACTACTGAAATCTCTTATGTTTTTTGTTTCTAAAAGATACGCTATTGTTACGTTTTTTATATGTATTTTGGAGTTGTACCCAACAAATATATATATGTATGAAATAAATTTACAACCATTTCAAAATAACAGGTTATTTCTTTACATGTGACAGGTTTTGCTATTTAGCTATTTCCTGATTTCATCTCAATTCTTCAGTTATTCCCAATATAGAGGCCACTTGAATGAGGTCATTGGTATTTTTACTTTGTGTTTCTGTTTCATTTTTTGAAGTAGCATCTCTTTTTAAAGGTCTTGGCTCATATGAAAAAGTATAAAATTAAACTAAGTGAAGGAGAAAAATCTTCAGTTACACTTAGGACTTTGGTTTTCTGGATCATTGTGGAGAGAGAGGTTTAAGGACAGCATCTTCTGTGAATCATGAAAATAGTTTTCTTGACCTAATAAAAGAAAAGCACTGGAAAGTCAGCAGGTTACTTAAGGATGGTTTCTTCCAAGAAACATAAATTTTGGTATTTCATCAAGGGTGGGTCCATCCCTCTTCCCAAACATGAACTATCAAATTAAATAAGTCTCTTTTGTCCTCTCCTTCCTTTTGCTCCATAACTTGAGATGTTTGTGTCCATAGTCCTAGGAAATACTTTATAAAAAATTTGAAGAAAAAGATCAAGTGTGAATGTTTGCACCCCAACTTCTAAATACTCAAATTTTGATTATGAAGCACTCCAATGGAGCATGGGAATTTACTTCTTTTATTATTGTTGTTGTTATTATTATTATTAACCAATTTTAAATTCATAAAGAATTCAGCCATCTAGATGTGTTCTGTGCTTCCAGAGCGTTTTATTGCCATCTTACTATATGAACTGAGATTAATGTGTAAAAATGTCTACATTAAAAATTTTGGAATTACTGCATTAACTACAAATCTGGGACAGAGTGTACTATTCTCATCACTAGTGATTGCCAGGGTCTGATTTTATGATACTGGTTTTATATCCATTTTTATTCAATTCTGGCCTTTATGGTTTGGACTTTAAGTGCATCTATTCTGAGTATTTTCTTTGTATGTTTGTCATGGTGGAATTTCTATCTTGCTGTTCTTGTCATCACAGGTGGAAGCCACAGAAATGGGGCCCTTGTGTCCTAGTGCCAGAGTCTGTCAGGCAGGGAATAATGGGCACCAGTGAAGCCTGTGGAAAGGGGCTACAGACAAGAGGTAAGTGAATTGTGAAACATTTTTTTTTCCTGTTCAAATACAATTTTAAATGATGTTACTCTTACAATATGCTTATTTTCATATTTGAATAAATTGTGATATTGTTTGATTAGATTATTTACATATGTCAATGTCTGAATTCAAGTTTGACATTAGTTTATGTTGATATTGGATTCTCATAACTCTACCAGTTAGAGCATCCAAAGACTAAAGGATTATAGGTACCGTATATATTCTGAATCATAACATATCCCAAAGATGATGTTCCAAATGCATGTTGGATATTAACCAAGTAATGGGCTATGTCAGGATTATATGCAATTGTGTAATCAATCAATCATTGTACTTTTTAGGGGCTAGTTAAATTTTTATTTAAATGGAAGAACCGAATGAATTGACTAATCTTAGCAATAACAGCTTAAATGTAATTATTTTATACATAAAATAGAATACATATTTTATGTATTCTACATAATATACAAGGAAAGAAGCCTTTGAGATTTCTGGAAGAAGTTGTGAATAGGTTTCTCAATCTCGGTTGTTATGTTATGTGCTGTCGAGTCGGCCCCGACTCATAGTGACCCCTCCTTGGGTTTCCGAGGCAGTATCACTACGGAAGTAGGATTGCCCAACCTTCCTTCCGAGGAGTGGCTGGTGGGTTTGAACCGCCAGCCTTCTGGTTAGCAGTCAAGGGCTTTAGCCACTATGCTACCAGAGCTCCTTCTCAATCTCGGTAGAGAGGATTTTATCATCAGTTTCTGCAAGGCATGGCGACTATTAAGGAGCCCTGGTGGTGCAAGTGGTTAAGTTCTCCAATGCTGATGGAACAGTCAGTGGTTTGAATTTACCAGTCGTTCCGTGGGAGAAAGAGGAGGTGGTCTGCTTCTGGGAGTATTTACAGTTTTGCAAACCCTATGAGGAAGCTCTACTCTGTCCTATAGGTTCTCTATGAGTAGTAATAGACGTGATTGCAATGGGTTTGGTATGGCTTTGTTGGGTGTCCAATATTATTAAGAATCAGTAATCATATTTCCAACGTAAATCTCCAAAGAGCTCACAGAATCATCATACTCTTCTACTTCACTCATACAGGTGCCAGTGATATACAGTTTGATAAAAAGTGCTTTGTTTTTAAATTACATGGCTTTGTTACAAAAGGGATATATGTAACAGAATTAGACCTTTTTGCTTCATAGATTGTTGTTGTTGTTGTTGTTTGCCGTCGAGTCGGTCCTGACTCATAGCGACCCCTCCTTGGGTTTCCGAGGCAGTATCACTATGGAAGTAGGATTGCCCAACCTTCCTTCCGA